CCGCCCGCGGTTTGGGCAGTGGCGGGTGCGGCTGCCTGGGGGTTTCAGCCGTATGTAAACGGCCAGACGGCCCCCGAAACGCAGAACACGGTTCGCGTGGAAGGAGGAAGGGGTTCAGCAGGACCTTGCCCCTCGCACATCGTGTCCAAGCAGGCTCCTGCCACAAACCCTCCCACGGCTCTCTGTTATTACCTTCTCTTCTTAGAGAGGTGCAGGCATGCCCACCTTACAAGACCGCTGCTTACACAGGTACGGGGCCCGGTTGTTACAGCCTTGTTCTTTTTCGTTTAGTTTTCTTTTTTCCCCTGACGGGTACTAGGTTAAGAAGCATTTTCCTCAGTATTTTCGTGCCATGGTGCCCGAATTATTGCATAACTGAGTTGCAAAGTTACTTCGTAACTAGGTCTAAATATAGTTATTTTTGAATTCAGATGAGGCATAGAGCGTAACATTTGAAGGAAAATCTTTGAGGAGACTTTGACTGTTGTGCAGCCGTGTACCAAGACAGCTCTTCTGGAGAGTGTGTGCATTAGAACCACCCAGGTCTCTTGAAGCCTTTTTTGATGGACCACCAGCAAAAACGTTACTACCTTTTGTTGCAGATCTCGGCTAGGTTATGCAACTAGCAAGACTTCCAAAAATCCTGTGTAAGTGAAGCATCTTGAATGTACTGGGAGACAGGGGAGTTCAAAATCCGAGCTGTAAGCACCAGGGAATAGTGCTGGTCCGCAAAGTCTGAGCTTTGCAGCAGAACGTGTGTTTGTCTTTGCTGATACCCAAGTCGAGTATCGCAGCAGATGCGAAGTATTGCCGAGCACCTCCCAGGTGTGGAGTTTTTCTTCCATGTAGGCTAGGAACAGTTGTAAGAGTTTCCAAAAATAAACGAAGTCAGTTTGCATCCTGTAAATCTTGCTGTCGGATGCTGTGCCCGCGGGGATGCTGTGCCTGCAGGGTCCGGCAAGGCGGTCTGGAGAGCATCGAAACACTGACCAGCAGAGCACTGCTGGAGCGCTGGTAATGGTTTCAAGAGTAATGGGATTCATTTAACCTCCAGTTGTTGGAAAGTATCACCAGTCTTAAAGATAATATGCATGAGCTTGGGTAATGCCTTGGATAGAGCTCTGCTTTAAATGGCACCCACTGCTACAAGGACCTGCACAGCCAGACTACAAACTCCTGTTAGCACACAGGGGTTAAAGGTTTTGCTGGGTTTGAGTTCAGAGTGCGGGAGTTCATGCGAAGTGTTGCCCTCAGCAGCAGCTGGCTATCTTTACCAATTTAAAAGGCAGCTCATCAAACCAGTTCAGCAGGGAGGGCAGCTCTGCTGGAGCTCTGGATAGAGCTACAGCCGTGCTTGTGGGCAAGGCAGAAGGCCGCTGGAGAATAAAGACCAGCCCGGTGACGACCAGCATTGTCTCCATGGTTAAGAAGAAATGTAAACTCTGCAGAGGCAGATTTTCCAAGGCGTTCTGTAAGATGATGTGGACATAGAAAAGGAAGATGTAAGCTACTGTCTGCTACAATTACCCTCTGAATTCAACAGACCAAGACAATTCATGTCCATGGCTCTTAATAGAATTAGCTGAGAAGCTTTCTGAATCACAATTAGCAATAAAATTGGAAAACTAGAGAAATTCCCGCAAAATTGTTACTGTAGTTCCATTAAGTTAAAAAAAACTAAAGGAAGTAACAGAGAGCTAACCACGACGGCTCAGTTTTATGTCAGCCACTTCTTTTTAATGAGAAACCAATATTTTTTTGAAAGAGCTTTCATAGAAAATAAACAGCCTTGTTTGTTAAAATGAGCTTGTTGTCTTGGTATAGCTTAAAAGATTTGTGTGATGTGAAAGGTAACTGTAATGGTTTTATGTCCCGTGTTTGTGGCTTCTCCAGTGTGCTTAAATGAATGCTATCTGGCATTTCAAATAAAAATACTTGCCGTTCTATGGACGTGATAGAGTTTGCGTTAGAAGGATTAAAACTGTATTGCTGATCTCCTAACGTGTTGTTGTAAGGTGCCACAGGGATCACTGTGCTGCTGGGCACGGGCTGGCGGAGTTGTAAATCATCAGGACAGTGTTGCGTAGTGATTTGCATTGCTTGGCTAGGTGGTTACGATGCAGGAAAATGCAGTTTACGTCCAACTGCATGCAGTCGCAGCAAGGCAGAGCTATGCCTTGGGGGAACCCACCTGTGTAATCCCTGAATTGCAAGTGCAGCACCGAGGCAGACAGGGATGATTTGAACTGAGGAGATCTAAAATCAAGCAGCAGTGTGGCTTTTCTGGTACAGAAATTTTTCCTTAAATTTTGTGCCATTTTCTGCTTCGGGAGGGCCTCCTGCAGCCCCGTGTGCCGAGCAGGGTGAGGCCGGCCGGCAGCAGCAAGGTCACCGCGCAGCTGGGGAGAGCCTCCTGCCAAGTCTGGCCAGGTCGCGGTGGGAAAGAGATTGGGACCTGATAAACAGGGGGGACCCGGCCCGGGAGAGGAGGCACACGAGGAGCAGAGTTGGTCTTCGAATGCTGTCGGCTTCTGCAGAGCTGCTCTGCCAATAAAGAGAAAAGCAGGGGGAAGAGGAAAGTAGAGAAGCAGCTTCAGGATAATCTCCTTAATTGGACTTCACTGAAGCTCCCTGGAAATTGTTTAAAGAACCTTAAAAATGCAACTGCTGTACTGAGAAGCTAGGCTGCCCTTCCGAAATGAAACTGCATAGCTCGGTCTAGTAACTCGAATTTTAAACAGCTTTGCATGCAACCGCCTGGGTAAAACATCTCCCCTCCATTTTCTGTGATAGCTGTAGGAGATCTGACCCTCTGAAGTGACAGCAGTGACACTAGTTACCACTGAAGTGCTTTATCTCTGTGTTGTCGGCAGCACTGGTTGGTGTCTCTCCAGGTGGAGTCTGGCCCACGGTGGTTCACAGGGCTGTGGGCAGTGGAGTTCGAAATGCCAGCGTTCGCATTTCATTTTCTAGCAGTCATGGGCATTCGCTGGGTTATTTCCAGGGGTGAAGTAGGGTTGCTTTCCATGTGCCACTTCTCAAATTATTCTGGAATTAATTGTGATAAAGGACTTGCTATTCCTTCATTACCTGTCACTCAAGGGTCACATGAAGAAACTAAACTCGCTGAGTAATGCTTGTAGCCCCGTGGATGTGTGTATGCCCTTTGGGGTGAGGATCATGGTGTGTACTGCTTGAGCTCTCTAGTGCCCTGGAAAGCACTGGAGGTTTCTGTGTAAACTGCTTTGATGAGCAAAATGAATCTTTTAAGATATAAAGATTCTTTTCAAAATAGCAGATACCTTCGTATGTATTTCTAGAATACTG